TGAAGCCCTGTCACAGGTTGCCCAGAGAGGTGGTGGATGCCCCATCCCTGGAAACCTTCCAGGTCAGGTTGGAGGGGGCTCTGAGCAACCTGATCTAGCTGAAGATGTCCCTGCCCACGGCAGGGGGGTTGGACTAGAAGACCTTTAGAGGTCCCTTCCAACCCAAACTATTCTATGATTCTATGAATAGTAATAAAATAAGTAAAACACATAATAGACTGATCAATGGTTAAACTATTGGAGTAGGTTTTGAGAGAGCTAGATTTACTTTTTGGTTCCTCTTCTAACTCCTCAGGAGTCTTGAGAACACGCCTTTGTGTGGTATTGATCTCACTTCTAAAAGGCATTTAAAAGTGAGATGCATCCTCTAAGTCGGTCATCTTTGTTCCCTTTTTAGTCAGTAGAGAGACATTTATCTCACATGAAGAAAACCATCCAAACATATGCTGGATCTTTTGAAGTGTCTGTATCTTTCTGTTGACTTCAGAACATACAAAACGAATTTATGTAAGATGCCTGATTTTCCCCTTAAATAGTTTCTGTTATCTAAATCAATCTCTTCAGCTCCTTGTAGCATTACTGAAGTTCACTGATTTCTCTGAGGTGCTCAAGTATTAGCGTGATAATGACTATTAAAGTTTTTTGAAAAAGGGAAACACTTTCCATTGTGTCATAGTTTGACACTACCAGCAGGGCAATGTGGTTCTGGCTCTGGTGAAAGGTCAGTGAGTTTTACTCTGGAAAACCAGTAACATGGTGTTACTGGAGTGTTCCTCCTTCCACTCTCAGTTCTAAGGTTTTCCATTTGTTACAAGTGTTTCGCATGCCTTGGCTAAGGGAAGAACTAGGGTTTTTTTTTTGTCTGTTCTGCAGGGAAGTGAACTTCTAGAAACAATTTCTGAAAATAACCTGGATACTCTGAAGCAGAACTCCTCAGATAAAGCAGCCTGGAAGGATCATTACTGCATCTGCTTCTATTTATGCAGTCACTACTTCGGTAACTAGTGCAAATGTTATTCCATTACAAATAAACCCATCTGAAAGCACAATGTATTTTAAGGCTGTTTTTAACAGGTGTCCTGGTTTCAGCAGGGGTAGAGTTTATTCCCTTCCTAGTAGCTGGTACAGTGCTGTGTTTGAGTAACAGATGCTAACGTTGTATTCCAGCAAGGTGCTGAGGAGTATCAGGGATAATTCTTGCTAGAGCAGAGTTTATCACAGCAGCAGCACATGTTCTCATAGCTACACATGAAAAAGCATTCTAGAAACAAGATGTGGACTACTCTGACAGGGGTAATCAGGGAAAGGACATCTTCCACGTTTGCTGCTTTCTGGATGCACAAGATATTTCAAGTTTGTAAGGCAACTGCCTGCAAGATGCTCCCCCTCTTTTGAAGACCAGTTTATTAGCTACTGTTACATGTTCTTGCAGGATTCCCCTGTTATCTTGTAGCTGAAAGTAGAGCACTCACCAAAGACGCTTCTTCCAAACAGTGCCCAAACTGGCCTGGACAGCTGATGATGACGGACAAACATTTTGATATACTTTGGCACATTGGAACAAATCAGTAGGAGCTGGGTGCTGCCAAGGTTTTCCAGAGACCGGGTTTTAGGGGAGGCAACAGCAAAGCAGTGGCGTGCCACAAGGGATGCCTATTTTGCCCTTAACTCTAGCTGACTGATGGTAAGTTATTGAACATTACTCATCTCTGTCAATATTTAGTATCCCTTTCCCATAATGGACAAGGCAAATTTTTATAGTTAATTTTGTTGCCTTCAACTGCATGCATGAAAGAAAACATTTTCTGCCAAGTGCCTCATTTTAACTGGCAGAATATTTGGAAACCAGAATGATTTAGATGACAAAAATTCCCACTTGATAAGAGACTATATTTCACCTCTTTGGGGTTTGATATTTAGGGTTGAGTTCTAATCCCATATTTATCAGCAGTGAACTCACTGAAATCAATGGAACTGTGGTAGCATAAAACCTGAGCAAGTGAGATCAGGGTACTTGGATTTGCCCTGAGGATCAGGAGTGCGCAGTCCTATGGCCCTCAGGGGAAAAGCATTCTGCCAGATTATAAAATAGTTCCTTACCTTTCACATGATGAGCTCCTCCCACCTCCCTCCCACATCCCCAGTGGCTGTTCATGACTGAATTGTACCAAATAACAAGCGAGCTTAG